GGTTTTTGGGGTACCTGGATGGGTTTTTGGGGTACCTGGGTGGGATTTTGGGATACCTGGGGGTGTTTTTAGGATACCTGGGTGGGTTTTTGGGGTACCTGGGTGGGTTTTTGGGGTACCTGGGTGGGTTTTTGGGGTACCTGGGGGTGTTTTTGGGGTACCTGGGGGTGTTTTTGGATACCTGGGTGGGTTTTTGGGGTACCTGGGTGGGTTTTTGGGGTACCTGGGTGGGTTTTTGGGATACCTGGGTGGGATTTTGGGACACCTGGGTGGGTTTTTGGGGTACCTGGGTGGGTTTTTGGGATACCTGGGGAGGTTTTTGGGGTACCTGGGTGGGTTTTTGGGGTACCTGGGGAGGTTTTTGGGGTACCTGGGGAGGTTTTTGGGATACCTGAGAGGGATTTTTGGATACCTGGGTGGGTTTTTGGGGTACCTGGGGAGGTTTTTGGGGTACCTGGGTGGGTTTTTGGGGTACCTGGGGGGGTTTTTGGGGTACCTGGGTGGGTTTTTGGGATACCTGGGTGGGTTTTTGGGATACCTGGGAAGGTTTTTGGGATACCTGGGTGGGTTTTTGGGACACCTGGGTGGGTTTTTGGGATACCTGGGTGGGTTTTTGGGATACCTGGGTGGGTTTTTGGGATACCTGGGGAGGTTTTTGGGACACCTGGGGAGGTTTTTGGATACCTGGGTGGGTTTTTGGGACACCTGGGGGGGTTTTTGGGGTACCTGGGTGGGTTTTTGGGACATCTGAGGGGGATTTTTGGGATACCTGGGAAGGTTTTTGGGGTACCTGGGTGGGTTTTTGGGATACCTGGGAAGGTTTTTGGGGTACCTGGGAAGGTTTTTGGGGTACCTGGGTGGGTTTTTGGGGTACCTGGGTGGGTTTTTGGGATACCTGGGAAGGTTTTTGGGATACCTGGGTGGGTTTTTGGGGTACCTGGGTGGGTTTTTGGGATATTTTTGGGGGTGTCCCATCCCTGTCCCCCCCAGGCCCGCCTGGAATTCCTGCGGGAGCAGCTCCAGGTGTGGGAGAACACCTGAGGGGGTTTTTGGGGTACCTGGGGGTGTTTTTGGGATACCTGGGTGGGTTTTTGGGGTACCTGAAGGGGATTTTTGGATACCTGGATGGGTTTTTGGGATACCTGGGTGGGTTTTTGGGGTACCTGGGTGGGTTTTTGGGATACCTGGGTGGGTTTTTGGGGTACCTGGGT